ATTCTTATCAAATTTTTGCATTTATATTCCTACATTAAAAACTTCGCCACGCCTTCGATGTATCTAGAGTATCTTACCCCGGTAATCGACGATGTGTGTATTTCCTGGATTCCACAAAACTCAAATCCAAATTTCAGTCGGATGACTGAAATACTTTCAAATCATTTCGACTTTTCGGCACCTAGCGTTGTCGCGAATTATTTCGTTATTGATAAGCATAAGCAGAGGCAAATCATGGGTATGGATGTCAAACTGATGGAGGGATACTCGTTCGTAGAACTCGATCCCGAGGTTTGCTCTTGCTTTTTTTGGAATAAATTTGAGAGTTTTAGAATTTTTTTTCAGACAGAAAATCAGACTATGTGTTTTTCTGCTTTGATAAAGCACGCCGGAAAATGCGATGATTCTGTTTGCGCAGACGTCATACGATGATGACCAGCTCAGTAGGCAGCCTACATTGTGCGGTAGTAGGTAGTAACATCGCGCAATAGTGGAAAGCTTAAGCTATTCAATTGTGGGCAGCTGACATCATGTGGTAGTGGACAGCTAATATTTTGCAGTAACAAGCAGTAGTGGACAGCTAAAGTCGTCGTGCCGTAGTGATCAGCTAACGTCAGAGAAAAGTGGACAGCAAACACCGTGCTATGATGGGCAGCTGACGCAGTGCTGTAGTGGACAATTAGCACTGTGCTGTAGTGGACATCTATTGCTATTTGCTTACTTACCGATGATCTGTGACATTCCAAGAATTCGTGCCATCTGACGAAATTTTGGACATTGTATTGTTGCTTGAAAGAAATAATTGTTTCAGAAGGATGCCGACACAATAGCGAGAAGCTGGAAATTCTCGGTATCTGGAGATCGGGATCAGTTTGCGGCAAAAATTCGCCGCTTACCATCCGTAGGTGTACGATGTGACGATGATGGAGCACTGGCTTCGTTCACGGTGTTGGATGCTGCCGGATTCTTCAACAATCAATTCACTTTTGTGGAGCATCGCCAACGTGGATTGGCCGACAGAAGCGAGCTCAGACTGTGTCAAAAAGTTTGCTTTAACTTCTTTTGTGCCCAAATTTGAATTTCAAGATTTATTACGGGCGAGATTAAATCAAATTATTAGGGTTATCGGTGTAAATTTTTTCTGGAGAGCATAAGGCAGCCATTAAACGTGAAAATCACATCAAATTTACGATTCGCTTGCAAAAATTTAATCGTGACATTAAACTTTTTTAATTTCTGTGTTAGAAATATAAGTATGAATTTAATTTTTTGAAGAAATTTTGACTTTATTTTCTAGCCTTCCACTTAACGGAGCTATCGCCAGGTAGGCATAAGACGTAAAATTCTACTAAATGGGCATAAAATTCTCTCTTAACCACGTGTTTTTGTCCTTCCCCGTTTATTTCTTTACCCTTCATGGTATCCGGCTTTTTCTTCCTTTCATTTTTATCCTTTTTGTGTTTCGCTTCCCCTGTGCGTTCTAGATTTGTATCGCAACCATCGTACTGACTAGGTCCAGTTGCGGTGCCGAGCTTGGACGTTCAAGGTTTAATGACCGAATGTCCTTTTTTTCAATCTCACAGTCTTTTTTCAGTTT